GTTACCCAGCAAAGCAAAATGATGCCCAGAGGGCAGGGCAGGGAGAAGATTTGTGACAGATAAAAGCATACAGTACTTTTTACAGTGTGCATTTAATTATAGAACTTGCTGCTAAAGCATGCAGTGATGGCCACCAACTTGGATGGTTTAAAAAGCATATTTAATAAATTAATGGAAGATAAGCAATCAATGGCCATTAACTGAAATAGCTAGATAATGTCCAGTATCATGGGCAGTAGGCTTCTGAGTATCAGTTGCTAGGAAAGATGCGAAGGGTGGTACCTATGTCCTCCCTGAGATGTACCATAGGTGTGGATTCTTAACATAAACAGAGGTATGCTAGATGTGAACAAAACCTATCTAGTCCAGCGTTCTGTTTCCATGGAGACCAACCAGATGCCCATCTGTACATTTCAGAGCTTGTGTGATGTTGCGGCTAGATTATTGGGCTTCTGTATTTCCAGGCTCTGAGATGCAGCAACACCCTGACAAGGGCTCGTGCCATCCCACAAATACCTGAAGATCTCATCTTCCCCTCAGCGTCAGATGCTCACAGCTTCTCTGGTCCTCCAGCCACACAGGAGTCTGTGACTACAGAAATAACTATGAGTTCTTCAAGGGCAAAAATACAATCTGCTAGGAACTGAGCAGCTGGAAGCTCTGAGCTTGCCAGCCTTCTCATCACCACATCTGCCTGCGTTGCCTTGCTGGGACAACTGCTTTTCCTGTGGGGAAATATGCCAGTGAGTATGCCCAGCAGTATGCTTTCCAAGTGCCCAGCAACCTGCAGTGACCTTAGTCTTCTGGACCTAATAATGTTTTCCCTGTTTTCTGAATGTGACTCTGCTTGCCTGCATTTGACCCCTTTTCTACCTCACACTAATCATCTGTGAATGGCTGGAGGGGAAGAGTTATGGCTCTGTGACAGGCGTGTTTACAGAAAGTTCCAGATCCCGTCCCTGCAATTACCAGTTCAGACATGAAAGAATCCTGCTAAAAACTTGGAATGTGTCAGGTCTGGAAGGTAGGTGGCAGGTTCTTACAGATGGAGCAACAGAATCAGGGACAGTGGAGCTGGATGGAGCTCTTGGCATGTTGCAGTACAGCCAGAGGCAAAGGCAAAGTCAGGAACAAGAAAGGGTCAGATACTCAGTAAGTCCTGACAGGTACAGAGGTAAAGGCAAACCAAGGGCAGACAAGGGCAGGGCAGATCCAGCAAAGCATGGCAGTCAAGAACAAGGAAGCATCATATATCAACAAGGCAAGGCAAATCCAGAAGCAAAGGAAGTGACTCAGGAAAGGGTCAGATATCCAGCAAGCACAGCAAAGCCAGAGGTCAAAGCACAGATCAGGTACATGGCAAAGCAGGGACAGACCAGAAGCAGCAGCAGAGGCAAGAGCAGACTTGAGTTGAGGCACAGTTGAGGACAAGGCAAGACTGAAAGTAGGATCAGAAACACCGGCCACCACCAAGAACCACATTGCTCTAGCAAAGCTGAGCAGCACAGAGAAGCTTTTTATAGAGCCTTCCAGAGCTCCCAACTGCATCACATGATCACACAGTTTCCAGCCTTGCAAATAACTACTGCTGATCCTAGCCCTACGAGCACTTGCACAATTAACCATGCTGGTGGAGGTGTGTCATTCTTGCCAAACTTGACAGAGGGTCACTGGCAGTTGTATCAGTGGTACTGGACTAGATCAGGGGTCCTCAAACTTTTTAACCAGGGGGCCAGTTGAAAGGTGCCGGTGCTGGGCGCAGGCCAGAGAGGTGGTGCCGGTGGTGTGCACGGGCCAGCATGGGGGTGGGGGTGGTGTGTGCAGGCATGCACACGCGCTGAGGTAGGGCGGGGTGTGCGGCGAGGGGAGGCGAGAGTGGGCGGGCACATGCCGTGAGGTGGGCTCCCGAGGCAGTGGCTCACCCACTTGGAGATCGTTTTGTCCAAGTGAGCAAACTGCTGCCTCCCCGCATGCAGGGGGAGGTGGGCAGGTGAGGGCGGGTGTGTGCAGCTGGTCCAAATGGGCATGGCGGGGTGGATAAATGGGCATGGCGGGCCAAATCCGGCCCCCGGGCCATAGTTTGAGGACCCATGGACTAGATGGACCCATGGTTTCATTCAATATAAAGCAGTTTCTTGTGTTTCCATGACATACACACACTCTTACTCCAGGGCTGCAAGCCAAGCTAAGATATGGTCTAGGAGTAGTAAAATTCCCTTAGCCATGAAGTTTGCTGAGTGACCCTGGTGCAGCCACTATCACCCTAAGTTATCTCACAGAGTTGTTATGAGGATAAAATATTGAAGAAAATATGTCACCCTAAGCTCCTATAATAAATAACAAATGCATACAGTGTTTGGCAATGTCAAGAGATCACAGGGTAAAGTTTGAGATTAACAGAACATATTAAACACTAGTGAAATGAACTTCAGAAAATAAGCTTTTTTCAGATGTTACATTTTTGAAGAATGCAGCAAAGCATAGAGACACGATATAAGGCTTAACTATATTACATTAACAAATAAAAATAAATAAATAAAGCAGTCTATCAATGAGTATTTCAATTTGTCATCAACTAGGAAGCAGTACTCTTGATGGGAGAGAAAGAGGAGAGTGCAAAAGTTGGCTTGAAACTCAACATTAAGAAAATTAAGATCATGGCATCCAGTCCTATCACTTCCTGGCAATTAGATGGGGAAGAAATGGAGGTAGTGAAAGATTTTATTTTCCTGGGCTCCAAGATCACTGCAGACAGTGACTGCAGCCAAGAAATTTAAAGACGCTTGCTCCTGGGGAGGAAAGCTATGACAAATCTAGACAGCATACTAAAAAGCAGAGACATCACCCTGACAACAAAAGTGCGTATAGTCAAGGCTATGGTTTTCCCAGTTGCAATGTATGGCTGTGAAAGTTGGACCATAAGGAAGGCTGAGCGCTGAAGAATTGAGGCCTTTGAATTGTGGTGCTGGAGAGGACTCCTGCGAGTCCCTTGGACTGCAAAGAGAGCAAACCTGTCAATCATAAAGGAAATCAACCCTGACTGTTCTTTAGAAGGCCAGACACTGAAGATGAAACTCAAATACTTTGGCCACCTAGTGAGAAGAAACAACTCACCGGAGAAGACCCTAATGCTGGGAATGATTAACGGCAAAAGGAGAAGGGGAGGGCAGAGGATGAAGTGGCTAGATGGAGTCACTGGGGCAGTGGGTGTGAGCTGGGATGGACTCCAAGGGATGGTGGAGGACAGGAGAACCTGGAGGAATTTTGTCCATGGGGTCGTGATGGGTCGGGCACAGCTTTGTGACTGAACAACAAGGCAGCAATACATCAGCCTGGTTATTAAGTAGCTTGTGGAAAAGCAATGCCCAGATGTGATCAAATTTTGCAGCTGAAGCAATTTATACTGAGAATAGAAACAAAGCAAACATTGTTTCAGGGTTGTGAGTTAAGAGTTGATGTGTGCCCCAAGCCCCCATTAAAAAGATATTCTGAGAGCACTGGGCCTAGCTGCCATATTACTTTCCCAAAATTGATGTAGCATCACTCTGGGACATTGCTGGAAATTAAAGATTTTGCCACCCATTAATTCTGGTAGCCGTGGCTGGAGAACTGCTACCCACAAGGGTTAGCTCAGAGGGCCCACTGGATATCACTGGGTCTATGGCCGTCTCAAAACTGCAGCTAACCCAGAAGTCCAAGGTTTGTCATTTAGATTCTGAAGAGAACTTTAGCTTGCTCCTCAGTGGATGGAAAGGATGTGGTCATAAGTAGCCCAGGGAATTGGGCATCTGTGCACTTCTTCAATATCCCCAGCCAGCTCTTCCTCTCCACTTGGTCAAGTCAGTCAGGTGCTGGAACTCAGCACTTGACTGGGGAAATAGGAAGAGATGGACAGCAGTGCAGAAATGTGCATGGAGCCTTTGACTCCATATACAATCACTCACAAGGTAGGTTTTTATAGAGTTCTGTGGTATGTAATCAAAACATCTATAAAAGCAAAAATTAAAAAAGCAATGACAGCAAGCACAACTGGGAAGAACAAAATAAAATGGTACGTTTTCAGAGCCTTCTTAGAAGATGCAGTATGGGACTGACAAATCTTCCCTCCATGGAAATTTGGTAGTTGGAAACTTAGCTAATTGTGCATTAATCTGGCAGCTATTTTATGCACTGTATTTAATGACAAAGTGAGTGAGAAACAGGCCATTGGAGTGCATTGGCCAATTCAAAACAGTGGCTCAGAAATCTGCTTACATAAGAATTTAAATTTATAAAGGCTCAGAGTTATAAAGGCTATATAAATTTATAAAGGCCCATTCCAACCTAACACTGCATCCAGATTTTCAGGGCCTGGGCACATCAGAGCATTGAGATTAAAAGAGTGATTGGACTTTACTGGTATACTGACAATACCTTATTCACAACCACTTCCAGAAGCCTATTTTACATCTGTAGCATGGGGTGCTGCCAGTGGAAGCTGGTGATGCCAATTTCAGAGGAGTGGTCTTTCCACTCTCCGTTTTAGTCTAAATTTTTACAAAGAGCTATCTGTGGTGTTGAGAAAATTTGGAGTTAGTTCCGCAACACGGATATTTGCCTGTAAGTTCAGACTAATATTTTGAATGGAGTATCAATCCAACATTAGATCCATCTGCCTCTACTGAGTACCACACAGGCCAGCTCAGACAGAGTAGAGCAATTATCTACAAAGCAGGATTCGCTTATTCACAAACCTGCCAGGGGATGTAAAATGATGTCATGGCCAATGCTGCAGTGAGACCAGGATAACTCTACCTCATCTTCTACACAGTGATGAAGGTCCTATGATTCTGGGGCCTTTGATCCCAGCAAATGTGCTCAAACTAGGTGGAAACAATGCAAGCTTGCCTCCACTGCATTCAAAACAAATTAAGCAGGTGCAAATATAGTCTCAACAGCAGCCAGCTTTTCAGAGTTATAAAACTATAAAACATAAAATGCAGTAGCAAAAGGATGTTTACCTGTATGGTTCTCTTAATACCATCCACATTAACAGACAATAGGGCTGAAGCCAAGTTCCAGTCACTAGTCACACTAAGTTTTATCCCATCGATGTTCACCTGTTGTGACACCAAAGAAAACCGTTATAACGTCTGACGAAAAACAGATCTCAAGTTCATTCCTGCATACAAAGGAGCAGCCATATTAAAACAGATGGCTCCCAAGCAACCTGTCATGTTTATGGCTTCTGCCACGAAAGACAAGGTCTCACAACAGAGTCTTCGTAGCATCTCTGGGGAAGAGGTGAAGGACCTGTGAACAGCTGCCTGCAGAGGGCTTTAAGTAATTTCTGCAAAGTAGCAAACAACTATCTAACTTTTATACTATACCTGGACATGCTACATTTACTGTAATTAGACAAGCAATTCTTATGAATTCCAGTGACACTTACCAACCCACATAACAGGCCTTGCATATAATATATGCTCTCCAAGGACCAAAGAAGAACTTTTCCAAATGATTTAATGAAGGGCTTTTACATTGTTTTCCTAATTAATATATGCCAGTAATTAATTTCAAAGTCCAGCCAAACTTTCCTCCTGTCATATTCTTCCACTAGTAACTGATAATCAGAAGAATCTAATTTTTCACATATATCATTTTATATTAAAGAACAGAGGAAAAATGTATTCTTTTATTAACTGAATGATTGGCTTCTTTGGTGATATGAAAAGAAACATTACATAGGATATAAATTGCCAGTGATAAAAATACTCTGCCACCACTCTAGTGTTATGTTCATAGAAACCGGAAGTACTACAGTTAGAAAAAAAAGTCACAGAAACATTGGATCACAAACTTAAAATATCCTCCCACTCAAATGACATGTTTGAACAAGGTAAATTTAATACTGCACAGTAGGCAATTGATAAACATCAGGGCCCTGCTTCTGATTTCTTTTGCTTTCTTTATTGTAAAATAAAACAAAATGAGAATTCTAAATTTTAAAAGATTCCAAATTTATTTTTGACCAACTATCCACATATGGAGCACTCCAATCCCTCTTAATTTCCCTCTATAATCCAGAAATAAACTTACCAAACTTTTGTTACCAAAGCATGTATCTCACACCAACTTTTTCATGATAAGAACTTACAACATTTAGCATTTAATTCCTATACATCAGTTCAGGGGCTTAGCAGTGTCACATGGAGGCTGATTATTAACAATTACAGCAAAAGGAGAAAAACACTCTTATCTAAAGCCAAGTTTAGTGGTTAAGAGCATGGGACTGGGACTCAGACGATCTGGGTTCTAGTCCCCACTCAGCCATGGAACCAACTGGGTGACTTTGGGCCAGTCACAGACTCTCAGCCCAATCTACCTCACAGGGTTGCTGTTGTGGGGATAAGATGGCGGAGGAGAAGTAAGCTGCCTTGAGCCCTTTGTAGGAAAAAGGCAAGATATAAATTGAAAAACAAACAAAAACAAACAAAGTACCTTTCCGACTGTATGCAATATTTTACGTGCCCAATTACAAGCCAAGGCTGAACTCTGAATTATGTTTAGATTTAGATTAAAATTTTGTTTTATCTTTTTTCACATATTGCATGGCAAGAGTCTCCAGCTCAGCACCTCCAATGGCACCAATGAAGTATCCTTCAACATCTGAACATTTTAATATTTTAAATTGGTCTCTTATAGTTATTTATGTTTATTTACATGCAACAAGAATGTATTTGAAAAAAAGATTAAGTATATTATACCATCAACAAATTACCTGAAATGTCCAATCCCTTATTAAAGAGATGTTGCCCTGTCCACTAGGCATGAAATCTCTGGTTCTTGCTACATAAAACACAGCTTTAAGATTCACAGGCACAACAGCATTCTCAAATTTACACATGTGTCCACGGTTATAGAATGGTTGGAGACCTCTGTTCTGCCCTTTATGATAATTCATCTTGACCCATTGCGAGCAGACAGACAAGGGCTACTAGCAAAAGCCAAATGCAGGTGTGCATCCTTCCTCCCTCCCGTTTCTGCTTAGAATTCTCACACATCTGCCATACATTTTCTCTAGGATACTACATTGTTAGGGGTTCCAGCAATCCAATTCACTCTCCTTGCTGTCTAGTCTTCCAGCTGATGCTCGTCCTTCTGCAGTTTTCGGTGAGTACTGAACAAATTCAGTACTCATAAGCAGTTTCTAATAGGATATTGTCCCTTTGAGGGTGAGTTTAGATTTCGGGGGGCTTTTAAAGACTATATATCTCATATTATTACAATATGTGGTTATTCTGGAACATATTTAAACAACTGAATTGGTTTTTTTATGATTAGTTTTTACTGTTGCTACAATAATCAATTCATGTAACTTAAACCACTGAAAAAGTTCTTGATCTATTGATATCCAAAGTATATATTTCTTCAGAAATATAAGAGGTTCACAATGAGTTTTAAGTTAGGTGTATGCTGCCAATTTTCTCTCAATCATATTATGTTAATTTATACATTTCTGCCATATTTCAGGACCTCACTAACAATTCCTTTTATAAAAATGACTAGGAATTCCTTTATCTCTTTGCAATTAAGATCTTGGATACAGCTAGGTTGTTGTTTTTTTGTTTTTGTTTTTGTACTAATATAAATCTTAGAGTTCCCCTTCACAGACTGGTGGTTCCCTCTTGTTTTCCAGAGGCCTCATTTTGCTCCGTCAGCACAATGATCTAAAATACTAAATATAAGTAATAAAATATTGAAATAAATTTCATGTAGCAATTAGATTAGGCATTTCAACTGTGAGACATCAGATCTCAAGCATAAGAACATAAGAACAAATTCTTACTTTTTATTTACTGAATCTATGGATCATGATATTGGCCCGAAGTCCATGCAGCAAGCTCAGTCTAATTCCAGTTTTAACATTGCATTTGGTCAACTTATGTAGCAATATTCATGTTATTCATATATATTGTTTATCATGAAATATGATTATGATGAGAGAACCAGTGTGGTGTAGTGGTTAAGAGCATGGGACTGGGACTCAGATGATCTGGGTTCTAGTCCCCGCTCAGCCATGGAGCCAACTGGGTGACTTTGGGTCAGTCATAGACTCTCAGCCCAACCTACTTCACAGGGTTGTTGTTGTGGGGATAAGATGGAGGAGGAGAATGATGTAAGCTGCCTTGAGCCCTTTGTAGGAAAAAGGCAAGATATAAATCGAACAATAAAATAAAATAAAAATAATGTGCATCATGCCTTACTTTCATTCCGGGAGAAGCAGAAATGTTAGGAAATAAAGGTCTGAAGCAGTACCTGCTGTGTTAAACAAGAATAGACTGGCAAGGAAACGAAAAAGGAAGAAAAGATGGCAAGTTGAGCCAGTCAAGCTAGAAGTGATAAAGTGTGTATGAAGCAAATATTGATATAAAACTTAGATACAATGGTAAATACACTATTTACTTTTTCTTTCTTTCTTTTCAATTTATATCCTGCCTTTTTCCTACAAAGGGCTCGAGGCAGCTTACATCATTCTCCTCCATCTTATCCCCGCAACAACAACCCTGTGAGGTAGGTTGGGCCTAGAATCTGTGACTGGCCCAAAGTCACCCAGTTGGCTTCACGGACGAGCAGGGACTAGAACCCAGATCGCCTGAGTCCCAGTCCCATGATCTTAACCACTGCACCACACTGGCTCTACTTTCATTTGTTGACCATAAAATGGTACCACTTTCATGCAAAAGGTCACATATTTATCTCTTGCAGATAAAATGTAAGGTCAGCTTCAAATAGCTTTGAAGTGATTATTGGTACATCTTCAAAAGGAAGTTCAAGTACATAGCATTTCAATTTCATTAAAATACTTTTTTTGTGTGTGCAAACTTTCCTTTTGTTCTTATTTTCACTTACTTCTTAAAAAAAAAAACCCAAGGGAGAGACCCATTACATAGCCTAAGGAAAGCTCAGTTGCCTATTTATAGATCTTGCCCTTTTTTAACAAACCAGATCAGGCATTTTATTCAGTATATGACTGCAGGAGAGAAACTCATTTGCCCCCAGTGTCATTGATGCAGCTTTTTACCTGCTATGAAGGAAACCAGAAGATTATTTTCAATTGCTGAGCTTCTGCTTCAAATTTACTTTATTTAGTTGTATCCTACATCGTTTTCAGTTTTTTTAAATCTCTGAATATTTACGGGCAGCCAATTATGCGAGATCTGCTTTGTCCATATTCACATATACTATGACAGCTACTTTGTGTAACATAGATATGTTTATTTTATACATGTATTTATAGGCCACCTATAACTGCTGAGGTCTTCCTAGGCAGATACATGCAAATAATCTGCAGAGATTCTGCAAAAGTATTTCCAAATGTGGGAAAACAAGGGAAACATTATCTTTTCTACACAGCCAAACTGGAATCCAATTACAAACATTTCACCTTTGGAAACCAAAACTGCATTTTAACATAGACTGGAAGTTGCAGGTAGTCATGCTGGTCTATTAGGAAAAAAACACAGAAGTAGCAGCAGCAGCATAACTTTATTCAGGCCAAGTAAAACATCAAAATGTAGCAAGTCAGCTTGCTCAGTATTTTGTGACAACTGGTGCAAATAAAGGTATTAACTTACTGCTACTTTTGATTGTATAATTTTCTATTTTGCCTAATGTAAACTGTAACTAGCCTTTGGATTTTAGCAAACTGAAAACACACTGGGGAGATGGAATAGCATGTCCAATGCCAATGCTCCTATTTTACTTCACATCTGACTATATACCCTGAGAATTAGGTTCACCATCTTGATTTTAAGATGAATAATACAATTATTCTAGGGGTATTCTAACAAACTGTTTACACAATATTATTTTTATTTATAATTCAACTTTGGGACACCAAGTTTTGCCAAGCCTTCTTGAGAAGAGTGCTATATCAATAAAGGGCCAAATGAATCATGATATTATGAGATCTGTGATAGTATCTCCTTAAAAGGTTCCCCCCCCCCCCAAGAAAAACAGAGCTATGAGCTTTTGGTGGCAGTGGTGAAATTTGACCAGGATGTCAGCATTGTGACATTTGTCCAATTTACAGTGCCCTCGCTCAACATTTATTTAC